AAAACATATTATTATTATTATTATTATTATTATTATTATTATTATTATTATCATTACCATTAACATTATTATTGTTAACGTTTTATTACACATTTAATGAGTACTTTTTTTCATTATTATTTACAATTATTTTTTATATAAAATTCCTATATGACCGGAAAACATCTAAAATCTGCATCTTATTTCTCCACACCATCCGTCAAACGAGTCTTATAGGCCTTAGGTTGCAGCCTATCAATCGGGTTTGCACGCCGTCATCCAGACCGCTTCTAGTCTGTCGGTTAAATGTGGCACATTCTCGACTCGATCGAACGATCCGCTCGCGTTTAGCTACGGTACCGTACTCGCGCGAATAAGCCCGGGCGCGATATTTTTTTTCCGTACGAAACATTTGCATGAAACTTCATTCGGGCCATCTCGGACTGACTCGACATGAGTTCGATACGAGGAACAAGAGCAGACACTTCGCAATGTCGTGACGCTCGAGTTTTACTTTTATTGCTCTTTCTGTGTTTACCTACGGTAGGCCTATGAAATCTTACGGATTTATGGGATGTACTGTGTAACTAACTGTGACCTTCTTGTATGTTATTAAATGTTAGTATAATATTTACAACAACAACAGCTAGTACCCCTCCTTTATAAAGTGTAGATAGGTACACCAAAGGCTGACAGAAAGAAGATAAACTAAAGGCCTAAAGCAGGCTGAGTTAAGTCCTACCTACCATAGGCCCTCCCTAAACTTGGCCTAGGTCCCTAGGCTAGGGTCCTAGGCTGACACCAACAGTCACGCTTCACATGACGTTGATTGAAATTTTGAAAAAAGGGGAAAAATTGAAGCATGAAATAAAAAATAGAGTGCATAAGAGAAATATTATTAAATAATAATAAATAAAATATACCATTCCGGCGTTATTGAACTTGTCCAAACTATCCTTGTAATGTAATTAATGTTAAATAATAATAATAATAATAATAATAATAATAATAATAATAATAATAATAATAATAATATAATCATTTCAGCATTATTACCTTGGCCTAAGCCTTGTAATCAAGAACCTATTTACTAGGCCTATAATTAATAACTAGTCCAAGGGAATATCTTTTGTTCTATTTCCCCTTAACGTCGTTTTTTTTTTATGTTCTCTAATTTCTCCATCGTCTAAGTTCCTAAGGTAGGTTTTAATAACATAATAATGAATAATAATAATAATAATAATAATAATAATAATAATAATAATAATGAATAATAATAATAATAATAATAGTAATAATAATAATAATAATAATAAATAATAATCATTTCGGCATTAATTAACTTGGTCTAGCCTTGTAATCAAGAACCTGCAGATACTATTTACCATATAACTAGGCTTAGGCCTCATTTATATTCATTGGTGCCGCTCTGCCATTTTGGCAGGTCTTTGACATCCAGTATTCTAGAGCTGGGTATTCTCAGCTCTTCTCTTAATTTGAAAATAACTGTCGATCACCCTGTTTCATTTGAAAGAAACGCGCTATTCCTTCCTCTTCGTGTTTTCCCTTGAAATCGTATATTTTTAGTAGTTAGTAGGCCTAGGTAAATATGCAAAACCCAGATCTAACTAAAAAAAAAAAAAAAATTGTCACAGTATATAACTCAAGTTCAAATCCATTAATCGTGCAGCGCAATCAAATATTTATATATGTCATTTTAAACGACCCATTAGTATTAGCATGGTAACATCAATGTATTTTTTTTAAATCAGACAGCGACGTTCTCTCAGAAGTTGTTTTGCATTTTGTAGACGTTTATCTGTTGATGACCTTTTGACCTCCTGATTTCTGCAATATGAGATTTTCGGCCCGAGTCGATTCACTCGAGACGGCCCGAGTGGAGTTTCATGTAAATTTTTCGTACGAAAAAAAAAATCGCAGCCCGGGCGATTAAAATATTTTTTGCACTTTCTGAGGGGCGCTTATTCAAACGGAGCGCCTATTCGAACGGGGCGCTTATGAAAATAGAGTGGAAATTGAGGGGGCGCTTATGGAAATAGATGAAAATCGAGGGGTTCTTATGGGAAATTATTTCAAGAGGTACATTTTGAATGAAAAAAAGATTATTTAAGGACATTACGAATGGTGGTTAGGCGGAAAAGATAATCGTCTAGAGAACATGGCTCATGACAAGAATGCTTGAATATCAAAATCAGAAAAATAGCAGATGCAATTAATGGTAGTGTGTAGTGGTTCTTGTTGGCGCTTATTAAAACGGGTCGCTTTAGGAAATTTTCACGAGGTTATTAGAGAGGGGCGCTTATTCAAACGGGGCGCTTATTCGCGCGAGTACGGTATGTCAGATGCGACCGAAAAATATAGGCCTATAAATAACGTTCAAAAATACATACACCCAGAGGGACAAACACACCACAAAATGACATAGATACAGAGAGACAGACCCGCGCTAATTGCAATACCCTTCGCCTCTACTTCGAAGAGACGAGGGTTATGATTAGGTGTCTTGACATACAAGTACGGTAGATCTTGGAACGATTTGTTTCATATTTTTTATGTTGGGTTGTTTTGGTAGGCGTGTCATTGGAAATTATGAATAATTCAATTTGATGAATCAATGCTTGAGAGTTCCCAGGATACCACATTTGCAGTTTGTAGGCTTATTTGTTTATCTATATAACGCTCCGATAGGGTGGTTTATAATAGCCGAGTGCGTGTTTTGAGTTTGCATTGTAAGTTTAAGTCAGGTTTTTGCATTGTAAGATCTGCATCCAACCGTGATGAAGTATGAATTCATTGTATTGGGAAGTTAAAATAGGTCAGGGTGGAAATGTCTGCTCTGTCGTAGAGCATGATGTAATTTTGTAATGCATTTCCTCTACGGTAAAGCAACCATTTTTTTTTCTGCTTAGGCATAATTAGAAAACACATATTAGGGCCTATCATTCATGATTAAGATTATTTTTAGCTTATAATTATTAAATCAAATTATTTAAAAGAATTAAAAAGTAATAACTTTTTCAGAAAACTTAATAAGTATGCGACGGCTTAGGAAAATACGGTACCGGTAGGTCTATATGCCAATTAAAGTCCCGCCTACCCTGAAGGTCTGCTCTTTTTCGGACCGGGATCTCTTTTTAAGTTGAAAATCTCGCGGTCCAAAAGATACCTAGATGTTGATGCTGCTGACTTGGAATTCTACAAACACCTCATCATTACCATGATTAGGGCTGATATGAAAATAGACTGGGTTTTAGTCCTTAAACTTTCTTAATCAATAAAAAAAGCTGGAAAATCGATTTTCGTACAAATGGCGTTCCATATTACCTATTTGCTTTGCGTTTCATAGTATACTTTTTTCTAATTCGCATCAAAAAAGTTTCTCGACATAAACTGACGCTGGTGGCGCTCTCCGAAAAGTGCTTATACTACGAAAAATCAATAGAGACTTGTGGTAAGTCTAATGTGAAAAAGTTGTTTGTTGACAAATACATATTATTAGCCTGGTTGTAAACTTTGGAAATAAACATTCGCGGGAAAAAATAAAGGAAAATTAATTTTTAGTTTTTCTGAATCAGAATACCCTATAGTGTCTCAGAAAAAAAATCCCCATGCCTAGGGCTTGGGCATTTTTTTTTTTACAGCACTTTGAAATTTTGGCCTAATATACCCTGTTTAAACTATTTAAGATGGGGGAATTACATTTATGTTTTTGGTCACTTTTACATATACTGGGGATATAAAATGCAACAACAACTTGGCTAAATAGCTACTCATCACTCTCATTAAAATATTTGATAGGAATGATGACGTTATCATGACAAATTTCAAGATGGGGTCCATTATGTTGGGAAAAACTATGTTTTTAATGTAAAAATAATTTTGTTGTTATCAAAGTACCAGACAATCTCAATACAATATTATACATACAGGAATAATATCTGTCTCTTATACACATCTAGATGTGTATAAGAGACAGCCCACGGTACGCCCCTGCATTATACTTTGTTAAAATTTTAAACCAATAGATGTATTCATTATATTATATTGAGATTTCTGTAACAGCCAACTTACATAATGTTTGTCACTCATGCCGCGGCCGAAGAAGGCCTGAGGACAGGCCGAAATATTCATGTGAATAATAAACTTACTGTTTCAAGTCTACCAAGTCAATCTTTTTGTCTTTACTTTCGAGTTAACCGAACAAAAAAAAAAACAAAAACAAAAAAACAAAAAAACGAATTAGTGAAATTTTGCTTTAAAATACCAATTTTTGGATCGTGGTATGGGAAACATGTTAATATTTTTAGTCACTTTTA